ATAGACGCGCTACCCCCACCTCACTTCCCTCTCTCTCCCGCGGCCATCATCAGCTCCGCCTCACCTCACGCCAACCTCCAGCAGCTCCATCGCCACCACCTCCTTGCCGCGCGTCACCACCTGCCAATTTTGGGCAGGTGGAGGTATTCCAATTTCCACCTTAATTAGTATTTCTCTGGTCCTTAAATTGCTGGAATTTGCGTTTTTGTTTCTTGGGTGTCTTGATGGATACAAGCAGGAGGTGATTTGGGCATTTTCTGGGGTTAATTTTGGGTGGAATTCAATTTATTTGCTACCCCATTTGGGGGTGCTCTTTGGTATTGATTATATTGTTGAATATTATTTGGGTTTTGACTACTTGAGATTTCTATTGCATCTGGGGGATAAAATTTGATGACTTTTGTGCCAGTTTATTTGTTTGGAAATTGTTGGGGGTAATTTGGGATTTACTTTTCAATTGGGTCCCGTGTTACTCTCTACCATTCAGTGGTACTGATTGGTGTGTTTGGCTTTATCACATGTCTTGGGTTGGCCATTTGATTTCAATTTTCCTTGTGCATGCACCAGTCGTACTGGTGAGGGTAGTTTACATAATATTTGTTACTCCTGTGTTATTGGGTGCCTAATCGACTACTGTGCATTTGTGGTTGAGTTGTTTCTGTCCAACTTCTGAACTGTTGTTGCTGGAGTTGCCATTTTCTTGGGTCAATTGCTAATTTTAGCAGGTTGAAGTGGGTAATTGACTGTCCAATTGGAGACAGTTGTTACGATATTGGGTCCGATTGTGTCTAATTGCTGAAAGTTGTTGATTTATTAAGACACTAGCACAGTTCCTAGTTTGTTCGAGTTGCTGTTCTGTTGCATTATTGGGAGCTGTGCTCTAGTATTGTGGCTACTTTCCTGCGTTTATTTGTTGAATTGGGATATGAATGTGCCGTTTGCATTTGCTTGTTGAAGTCGGTTGCCTTTAATTGACTTGCTTGGGGTATTTGGAGCAGTTGTTGCACTTTGGACGGCCTTAATTCTGAATTTGACTACATGGGGTCCATAAATACTTATTGATTGCATTTGCTATAAGTGTTGGGGTCTGGTTTAATCTGTGGGAGATTGAATTGTGCATTTTGCTCATTGGGATGGATTTAAAAATTCTTATTGCTTTGAATTTTCGGCTTCCATTATTTGTTGGCAATTGTAGTCTCTTGTTGCTTAGAGTGATATTTAGAGTTCATGGTGAAGCCACGAATGGCACCAGCTCCAGATGCGAGTTGAGAGACTAGAGACTCGGATGACCCACATTGATGTCACCATGCAGGTCTTGATCCACAATTTCCACCTGAACTGCCCCTGTTTTGATGATTTCAGGAAAGTACCGTTGCCCCTCTCATTCCTTCTACTTTTACATTATCACATTGAGGGCAATGTGTGAATTAGGTGTGGGGGGGGGGAATCATTGTGGTGTTAGTAATTTTGTTTTTAGTTTCTAGAGTTTTTTGTTTTTTGTTATTTTTTTAGTTTGTTTTTGTCCATCTTTCGTTTATTTCCTTTTCTTTTTGTTTTTTCTAGTGGTCAGTTCCTATTTGAATACCAAGTTTGATGTTGGATTTTTATCTCTAATTCTGATATTGCCAAGTTTTAGTAATAAAAGGGTATCAAGTTAATGTAGTTGAGTTCAGGAACATCTCTTTGGTGAATATCAATAATTGCTTAACTTTTCTAATTTTTAGTTAACTCTTCTAGGCATAGGGAATGATTGTTGGCATTTTTCATGTGAATTGGTTCAATTATTAATTTTAGTTCTCAATGTTTGGAAATTTGGGGTTGACTGCTGTTATTTTTGTGTTATTTTTAGTTATTGTGCTATATGGTTATAAATAAGAATTGACTGTGCTCCGCTAGTTGCTACTACCGAGTAACCGGGGATCTTCACCTAAAGTGTCGATTCTCGCGTCAAAAGGTAGTGATTTCTATGAGTACGTGGTCATATAGCGATAGGAGCTGAGTAACCGGGCTCCTTCATCTGACAAATGTTGGAGTTCGCTTCAAAAGGCTCTAGATGGCTAGAGACTAAGTCTTTTGCTATTCCCAAAAAAAAAAAAGAAAGAGAAAAAAAAACAAGTAAAGTTTGTGTTAGTATTTGAAAAAAAAGAGAAAAAAAAAAGAAAGTCAGCTTGCCTATTTGTGATCTTAATGTCGGGATTTTGGTTAATAATTGGACCGTTTGCTGATAAATGTGAGCAACCATTCCTTTTTCTTAGATTAGTTTGCTTTAAATTGGAGGAATTGGTAGTTTAGATGCTAACCGGGGTGATTTTTCTTGGATCTTGACTTGTGTCGCTTGATATATGATTTTCTTGGTGTCTTGGCAATACGGTAGTTGGAGTAACAGCCATGATCAAATTTTGGTGTTCAATTGTTGTTCTCATGCTTGAGGGCAAGCATGATTTAGGTGTGGGGGGAATTGATAGGGTGTTAATTGTTAGTAATTTTATTGTTAATTTCCCCCTTTGTCCTTGCCAAATATTGTTTGAATTGTTAATATATACTTATATTTGGTATTTGGACCTATCTACAGGGAAGTTGAACTGAAATATACTAAAAAGGAGGACCTGTTGAGGAAAATTGCTCCACACGTGGGAGACTCCAAAGAGCTTCACAAACCCGGGCCCACAAGGTGCCACAGACGGATTGCATCTCTTTTGCTGATTAGAAGTTTTCCTATGAAGAGGAAACTAAAATCAAGGACTTCGCAGAGCTCCAATTCTTTGGCCTTTGGACTCTCAATTCGGTGGGGACCACTAGATAGATAGCATTGAGTCATTTCTTTTGGCTTTAAGAAAACAAACGTACAGAGGAGAAGAAAGGCATTAGTCTTTGTGGCTTGTTCCTTATTCGTGGGGACCACGAGACAAGAAGTAGTTTTTGTTTTAGAATAGGAGAGTTTCGTTTTGTTTTTGCTTCTAGCTAGTTCCTTCGTATTCATTACTTTATATATAGCTTTGCCGTTTTCTTCTAGGGGGAGGGCGGAAACATAGCTTTGTTTTAGAATAATTACTTCTGCAATTTTGCATGGGATTTCCTCCATGAAGATGAACTAATTTATTTTTTCTAGTCGGAGGTCAATTTGAAAACTCGGTTCCGAACATCTGTGAGATCTAATTATTTTATTTATTTCTTTTATTTATTGGTATTTGTACGTTTCCTGATTTAATTGCTTATGATTGTTTTGTTATTTGAATGTCAAGGGCCCGATATTCGAATTAACCTAATAATCTACTGTCATATTAATTGATTGAATCCGTAATTGTTCTATCGATTAATACCAGTGGCGACTAGCGTGATTGGTTTCATGTTAGAGAAACGTATGATCTAACTTAAACAAACCCTCGTAGTGTGTTTGTTGGTTAGGGTTGGGCTTTTCTAATTATTAATGCAGTCAAGTAATTAAATCCTATGGTCGTACCTAGGGTTATTTCTTGGTTAGAGAAATAGTTAACGGTCGTACCTTAACTATCGAGAAATTAAGGAAAGGCTGGTTGTTCATCGCGTGTATGGCAACTATAACCAATCTATTAATGAGTAATTGAGTTATCTTTGCTTCGATGATCAGTTGCATGGACCGTGTCTGAAAAGTTGTACCTTTGGTTAGAGTCATATTGGTTATTGATTAATTTCTATTTATTTCTATTAGTTGTTTTATTAGTTAGTTAATTAGTTATTTTATATTCTCCAAAAACTCCCCCATACTTCGGACTCTAAAAGAAATAAATTATCCCCAGTCCCTGTGGATTCGATCCTGCTTATCACTATCTACAGAAATTATATTTTATTTAAGCAGGTATTTATTATTGCACAGGTTCGGCACCTGTCACAGTGCATGGTCGTTTAAAGCTTTTGCGCTTGCTAATATGGAGCTTTGGTCTACCGGAGACAACTAATAAGCAACCAATTATCACAAGAAACTTATTTATTGATCATTGTATTGGTACAGTTGACCATAAACAACGTTTGAAAACTTCATAAACCCACAATCCATGATTTATATTAACCTCTTCTTCACAAACGCCATATGAATTTAATCTGTTCATACGGCAAAGGCAAAATCAATTTAAAAAAAAAAAACAGTAGACCTAGTAGATCTAATACAAACGGCATGGTAGTAAACCACTCATAACTGTAATCTTTAAAGAAACTTTCAAAACTACAAATTATGGACTTGAAAACTTAACGATTCAAAATCTAATATTGGTGCTCTAATACCACTAAAAGGAATTTTCAAAATCTCAATACTAGATATTTGAATACCACTATAATAAAATTACTTACCGTTCTCCAAAAATAGATTAAGAGATTAAAAGATGTATGAAGACCTTGATCAGCACGTTGTGGTTCCCGTGCTTGGCATAGGTGGGTCTCTCTCCCTCTCCAAGTTCTGTATGGTAGGGCATGTGTGAAAGTCTTGATCAGCACGTGGTGGTTCGCATGCTTGGCATGGGTGGCTCGGTTATCCTCTCCAAATTTTGTATGGTGGCTATCAATGGGACAAGTCCCCTAACAATACGATGCTAATGTTATCAATGATAGAGATGTGTGAGAACCTTGATCATCACATTGTGGTTGCCTGGCATAGGCAGCTCCCTCTTTCTCTCCAAGTTCCGTACGGTGACTATCAATGGGACAAGGCACCATAGCAGTATGCTATTGAGAAATGTGTGAGAACCTTGTGGTTCACGTGCTTGGCATAGATGGCTCCGTCTTCCTCTTCAAATTCTGTATGATGGTTATCAATGGGATAAGCCATCCTAACAATATGATGCTAGTTTTATCGATCCGAGAGGGATCTAGTCTTTTATAACTATAGTAAGACCTTCCATTAAGATAATCCTAATCGCAATAACAGGCCTTACATTGAAACAGATCTAGTGAATTATACTGTAGTGGGCTTTACTAATTTTCATTTAAGCCGTCTTTGAGAAAACAAAATTAGTCAGTGGAAGCCCGAATTAGAAAATAATTCTAACAATAACTTCATGAAATTTCAGGACCATGACAGTCATTTTCCTCTGGAGTACATTATCTACACATTAGTGTCAATAATCTTTATTACATCCACAGAATGTCTCATCATAAACATTAAGATACATAAAATGGGATTCCTTGGATTCACTATTCTTGCCACTTGTTCTTGCTGCATAAACTCCTGAGCTTATCTACTGCTTCATGCAACTCTTCTTCTCCTCCTTCTCTGAACTTGTGACTCAATTCTTTAGCATTCTGTATCAATAATTCTCCTAGCTCTTTCTTCTCTACAACTACCTGTTTTATGACTTTAGCAACCTCTTCCCTCTTGATCTGCCCATTTTCATCCTTCAGAATCTCAGTGCCAACACCAATCTCTACTGCAAGCCTAGCATTCCATGGCTGATCATAAAGCATGGGCAAGGCTAACAATGGTACCCCATAATATATGCTTTCGATAAAAGAACTCCATCCACAATGACTCACAAATCCACCCGTACTTGGATGCTCAAGAATTTTAGCCTGTGGTGCCCATCCATCCAGCACCACTCCTCTCTCTTTCACCCTCTCCAGAAACCCTTGTGGTAGAGCTTCCTCAAGGGCAATGGCATGTCCCACGGGAAATCTAACTACCCATATAAAGTTAGCATTACTCAGCTCCAGACCGTATGCCATTTCTTCCCTTTCTTCCCTGGACAAAAAGGTTTCGCTCCCAAAAGAAAAATAAACCACTGATGATTCATCTCTACCATTCAGAAATTCGATGAGATGGGAATCGGCCTCCTCCAACTCCCCCTCCTTGGCATCATCATGTTTTAGCTCAGCAAGAGGACCTACAGCTATCATCTTCCTCTTACAGCAGGAAGACAAATGATCAATGTATTTTCCCTCAATCTCTCTCCTGCTTTTCATCAAAACAATGTCTGAAGATACTTCAAAGGACTTAGTTGGAGATAAGTCAAGTAGTGCTTCTTCGGGGATTTTTTTCTTGAATTCTTCGACAACTGCAGCCATCTTCTTTATTTCATAATCCCGCAGAAAAATTGCCGGAAAAGGGTAAGAAGTCTCATTGACACCGGGGAATCCTTTATTGAAGGCCAGATGATGAAAGTACACCCAAGACCAAGAAGCTGCTCCAGTGACTAAGAAAAGAACAGATGGAACATGAATCAGTGAAGCTAGTTCTGAGGCCCATGGTTGGAACATATCGTAGATTAGTAAATCAGGTTTCAAAGTGTTAAGGATGTTTTGGAAGTTGGTCTTTCCCAAATTAAAAGCATGATGGAGGGTCTGGTTGAGATGGGATGGGAGGTTTTTTGTCGTGTGATAGTGCCGTGGAAGTTCAGGGAAGTGTGGCAAATCAAGTTGTACTAATTTCATTGATTGATTAGAGAAGTACTCCTCCAAGTTTCTATCTTTCTTGATGAAACTCAGATTGATCTCAGTGGAACAAAAGTAAATCTGGAAGTTATTTTTGGCGAGTCTCTTGGATAGTTCCAAGAAGGGAGATATGTGGCCATGAGCTAGCCATGGAAACATCAAAACTCTGAATCTACTGTTAGATTCTTTTGATGTCTTCTCCATAGCTGATTGATTGAATCTTTGAAATAATCCGGTGGTTTTCTTTGCTCTGAGAAACGGGAGCGCTGCTGAATAAATATATAGTAGCTTGCATAGGCATATCACATGATTCACCGTTAGATGTGCCCAATCCCTTTTATATTTGGACATTTTGCAAGTGGCAGACATTTTGAGTCTTTGACCTTGTCAAGATTCTCACATCTCAGTTGTATTTATTTATTTATTTTCCTGAAATTAATTTCAATTTAATGGGGAAATAATCCTTTTATTATTATTATTATTATTGAACTGGTTCGTTTGATTTTTGAGTTTGGTGGAAGAAAAATACTTAGTAAATGTAGCTAGAATTTACCGCATTGACTTATAATATGTTAAACCACCTACATTTGTCAAAAAAAAAATTCAAAATAATTGCTCCAAACAATGTTCTAACATGATAAAACTTGGAAGAAAGAATAGTTAAAATGACCCTTTAATTATTGTTAACCCCAAGAAGGTCGTCAAGGCGGATGAACTAAGATGAACAGTTATGCCCAATTGTCTCCGACTACCAACAAATTAAGAATTGCTCATCAATGACATAAGATTAACGTTTAAAAAAGGTCTATAATTGCTATAAGCCATTTGAATAAACAAGTTAGGACTACTCACATATCATTTTGAGATATTTTTACTGTAACACTTTTTGTGATGTGATGTATGTGAGATAAAAAGGTAATTGGGAAGATAAAAAGGTGTATTAGAAATTGTAATGATGATGTAAACAAATATATTTGGGAAAATAATCAGCTGTCCAAACAAATTGTCTTTGGTAGGTAATAAGTTTTTTTATTTTTCTATTTTTTTGGGTAAGGACCGCTCACATATCATTGTCTTTGGTAGGCAATAAGTTTTTCTTTTTCTTTTTCTTTTGGGTAAGAAAGACACATAATGCATAAAATCAAATAGCACTGAATTATATAATTAATTCACCTCCGATCAAACCCCTAGCACAGAAAGTAAAGGACTCGGAGCTTCAGATGATCACGTCTTCGCTAAGTGGTCGTAACCGTCAGCTTCGGTATTTGTTGTGTAAATTTTTTTTCTCTGACATTTACTCTATTCTTATGCTATGAGAAATTAGGTGCTACTCCACCTTCTGGATTTTTTTGACGAAAAGAAACATATATACTTTACCTAAATGCATTGGGCAAAGATAGCCGTAAGAAGTTGTCTCTGATCATTGGACCAAATTCAATAGTTATTGGGGAATAAACAAGTGAGACAGCAATATTCGAGTGGCCAATTCCACCACCGGGAATGTAAATGAGTGGCCGACCTTTTGTCCAAGAAAGGTCTCCACCTCCCACCGCATCCAGACTGCACAATTCTGACTTTTTTTTTATTAGCAACGGTACATTTGTATAATCTATTCTATCCTAATCCAGGGGAAGGGGGAACCTAAGGAGGCTGTGGTAGGGAGCTAGTGGGTATACAGACCCAACTAGGTGTTTCTAGAGCGAGTCTGGGGCTGAGCCCTAGGGTGAGACAAGTTTCAAATGCTCTGGGGCATTTGAATGGGGGCGTAAGTGTTGTTGGACGTTCATCCTGAGCATTTGGGATGTTGGGCATTTGGGGCGTTTTTGTGTTTTTTTTTTTAATTTTGAACTTTAATTTAACTATCTTATCTTCCTTATCTTTGTTTCATGTCCTTATTATTGTTTAATATAATGATTCCATTTATTTTTCTTTGAAAATAGTTTGGAAGAAATACAAAATAAAAGCATACATGACTTGTTTCCTAATTTTTTTCTTTTCTCTGATCCCAAAATATAACTATTTTTTATTAACATGATTGTAGATGGTTAATGTATGAATTAGAGTTATGTTGTAATTTCATTTATTAAACAATAATAATATTTTTAAATTAAAATTTGTGGAACTTACACTCCATACCTTAGGACTTTTGTCCCGTTTGGATAAATATAAAACACCCCATCCAACGCCCTCGCCTTTTAAAATATTGTATATGTTTGGTGTTTTGTTTAATGTTCTGTTCCAGTATGTGGTCCGTAGTATTTCTATCTCAATGATGTAAGATCTATTTGCCCTTTTATTATAATCCTTTAACTTTACTACAAGAAACAAAAAACTTCCAAAAAAGAAAGGGGGGGCCGCTCTTACTGGTCCCGGGTTACCTAATGCTAAACCGTGGCTGCAAATTAATGTAAAGTGCAGAGCAAGTTTCTTTTAGTTTTAGAGCTCAGGCCACTGAGGCCAAGGAGAAAGTATTCAGTAGCTTTAGCAATGCAATCACGAGGCAAGTTTAGTGAGGCGTCATTTGGCTGGACTACCACAAACGATTGACTTGGTGTCTGGGGCGTGTTTACCAAATTTACTTCAATACCGGATGAATCCCAAGGAGAGCGAGATTTTACAGTAGATTGTAGATGAATTGCAAGAGAAGGGGTCCATTCGCGTGAGCATGAGTCCATGTGCTGTTCCAACTCTTTTGACTCCCAAGAAGAATGGTTTGTGGCGGATGTGAGCTATCAACAAAATGATTGTGCGCTACAACTTTCTCATTCCCAGATTGGAAGACATGTTGGAGGGTTTGTCTGGAGCACGTGTGTACACTAAAATTGATCTGGCGAATGGATACCATCAGATACGCATCCAGTCTAGGGATGGGTGAAAGACTGCATTCAAGACCAATGTGGGCTAATATGTGAGTGGTTGGTGATGCCTTTTGGATTTGTGATGAATTTCAAAACAATTCTGTAAATGGGATGAATTTGGTTCGAATCAGGGCTCTTCGCATTCAGTAAATGCAAAATTAGATAAGCTCGCATTTGCTCACGTGGAAAATTTTTTCTATTATTGATGCGAGCTCTCAAAAAAAATTATTTTTTTTATGTTAGAGCTCGCATTTAGCAAATGCAAGGTCAACAAAAAGTAAATTTGAAAAATATTTGTTCTGTCAGAACTCGCATTTACTAAATGCGAGCTCATAGAAAATTAAATTTAAGAAATATTTAGTTTCTAAGAGCTCGCATTTACTAATGCGAGCTCCTAGAAAATTAAGTTTTAAATATTTGTTTTGAAGGGCTCGTATTTAGTAAATGCGAGCTCTTAAAAAAATTAAATTTAAAAAATATTTGTTTTCTTAGAGCTCCCATTTAGTAGTAAATTTGTTTTCTTGGAGATCTCATTTAGTAAATGCGAGCTCCTACAAAATTAAATTTAAATAATATTTATTTTCTCAAAGTACTAAATGCGAGCTCCTCGAAATTTTAATTTAAAAAATATTTGTTTTGCAGATCTCTCATTTACTAAATGCAATCTCTAGTAAAATCTTTTTTTTTAAATAATTGTTTATGCATTCATTAAATGCGAGGAGTAAATATTTTGGACCTCACATTCGATAAATGCGAATTCCTAGAAAATTTTATTCAAAAATTGCTTTTTTTTATTTAGGAGCTCACAATCATTTTTGTTTTTGCATTGACATTTATCATAGAGGAATAAATCTTTTTTATTTTTAAAACTTGCACGAGTTAGAAGTTAGCAAATGTGAGCTCTCAACAAAATTATATTCAAAATAATCCTTTGTATATAAATAACTACACATGTATATTTCTTCTATATTAAAAGATTTGATAATTATACGGTTGGAAACACCTAATTTTATTATTAAATAATTTTGTAAAGAAATAACTATACATGTATAGTTATTTATTTTCACAGGTCATTATAAAATAAAATGAAATTGTTAATATGTTAGGTCTTAACTTTTGATGAATAAAATTCTCTTTTTTTTTATACTTTCTCACAGGACCACTATATAGCATATTGGACATCTTATTAGCTAGGATAGATAGGTTGATCTACTCTTAATCATCTTAGAGTTTTGTTCTTAATTTTCACTTTAGTTGTGGTTTGTATATCCTTGCTTTCTAGTACCATCATTTCAATTACTAAAATATGAGCTATAGAGCACAACCACGAAATCAGGCTTTGCAACAAAAGTTCATACCTTTTATGCTGTTTGTGAGCTATAGAGCACAACCACGAATTTGAAAGCCATTTGCGAAGGGAAAAGAAAATGTGCAGCGCAAATGGGTCACAAGATTGGTTGGGGATGACTGCTGAGGTAGTAAAAGTGGCAAATGGGGGTGCGGCTGGCTGGCATCTGGCAGAAATGGGTTCCTATCTAGTGTCTCCGAAATCTGGTGGAAGCTCAACAATGGCGGACAACAACCGACGAGAAAGAGAGAGAGTGAGGGATTTCGTCTTGCTCCTCTTGGAAGCTTGGACTGGCGTCTAGCTGAGCAAAAGAGAAGAGAGAGTGAGCTGGATGTGCAGAGTCTCCCTCCAATTTCTGCCCCTCTGCTCACGGATTTGAATGCCGAAAGTAGGATGTAAAGAACAGAGCTCTGTTTTTTGGTTTAGCTGAAAGAGATTAAGTAACTCGCATTTTTGGGTACTTTTTAATTTTTTGAAAAAAAGGTATTCTAGCTTGCGTTTGCCGAATGTTAAGTAAGTTTGCATTTGACAAATGCAAACAACCTCATTTTAGAAACGCCTCCACCAATAGCCTTGCTCGGAGAAATTCTTTTTTTATTCATAATAATTCAAAAATTTACTCTTTTGGACTATCCAATACACCCAACACATTCATGAGATTGATGAATGATGTTTTAAATCATTTATTGGTAAATTTATTGTTGTGTACTTTGATGATATATTAATTTATAATGCTAACGAGAAGGAGCATCTTTAGCATTTGCGCCAAATGCTTCAAGTTTTGCAGGAAAATAAATTATATATCAATTTGAAAAAGTGTAGTTTCATGACAATAAGCCTCGCTTTCTTAGGCTTTGTTGTAAGTGCAGATAGAATTCATGTGGATGAAGGAAAGGTGAAGGCTATTTAAGAGTGGTCTACTCCTCGTATTGTGTCAAATGTTCGTACTTTCCACGGCCTAGCAACCTTCTACAGGTGCTTTATCCGAAATTTTAGCTCTATCGTGGCCCTATTGACTGATTGATGAAGAAAAGGAATTTCCAACGAGATCCTGAATAGAAGCAGAGTTTCAAGCTAATCAAGGAGAAGTTGATCACTGCACTGCGCTTTGACAAACTATTTGTTGTGGAGTGTGATGCATGTGGTGTGGGGATTGGAGATGTATTATCTCAAAAAGGAAGGCCGGTGGATTTCTCTAGCGAGAAACTAAGTGAATCATGCCAGAAGTG